CTCTCTCTCTCTCTCTCTCTTGGCTCTCTCCTCTCTCTCTCTTGGCTCTGTCTATCCTGGGTGTTTTTAGCCGTTATTTTGTCGATGTGCATTTTTGTACCCGAATAATATGTTGCGCTTATCCTTACTCAAATAATATGCTTCTCGATACGTAAAGTAAGTTTAGCCAAAGTGTCCTTTACATCAAAGTGAGCTAAAGTCGAAATCGAATTATATACCAATTCAGCCGTCGTTAACCTGATTAATATCATGCTGGACTGCCAAGTGAATGAAGTCGGTTTGAAATCGAAAAGGGCCTTTTTGAACTTGGGTTGTTTGGGGAGGACCTTCTAACGCTCTCAGCTTATTTCGCTGGGCCCAATAAGACGCTTTGTTAATACCCGTGTGATGTGAGATTTATCATGTAGAAAAAAATAAAAAAAATATATATATAATGAATATAGCGTCTTTATTACTTTGTCTCTCTTTTGCTTGTAGTTTAAACGTAACTACTTTGCGTATAACCTAAAAGATTATCTGTGGGTAGTTGGTGGGTGCTCTGGTGTGGTTTGCTTCTTCTTTCCTTTCAAACATCTATCGTCCTTATATCCCCTTCTTCTTTTTTTATGTTTGTTACTCTCTTGTAACACCTCTAATCTTCTGGCGTTCATATCACCTTATGCAGTTGCGAGCGCCGTAAAACGTATACTAAAACTAAAAGCAAAGAATTATCTTGGCGTTGTTCTTTCTCTCTACGACTACTAAAAGAAGAGATGGAAACGCCCCTGGGAGGTAGATGAATGGTGTTTGTATAATACGAAAGTCATAAATCACTGGCTCATGACTTAATAGGTCTGCACATCCAATGAAACGGCAATGATTTGCAGCACAAAGCTCGGCCTTGACCAAAACCTGTCAGAGTTAACCCGCTTTTAAGAGTAGGACAATGCAAGAACGACGTCAAGTTATGAGCCTTTCCCTAGAGTATACAATGGGCGCACTGGTAGGTTCTGCTTCTTTACTTTCCCTCTGTTGTTAATGTCTGTCTTGCTTGCTTTTTCCCAGCACTAAATGGCCATTGTTGTGTCGATTTGCTTATCTTTACTCAGACAAACAAACAAACGAGAGTATACAGACATTAGAACATGGTGCACTGGAATGTAGTCCGGGAAAGTGACTGAGTGATGGGAAGATGCGTAGAGTTCAGTCAGGAAAAGTGGGTGATTAGAGGGTGCTATAGAGTCCAGTCAGGAGAAATCCGTAGTTCAAGGGTGACGTAGAGTTCAATCAGGAAAAAGTGGATGGATAGAGGGTGTTTTAGAGTACAGTCTGGAAAAAGTGGGTGGTTAGAGGATATCGTAGAGTACAGTGAGGAAAAGTCCGTGGTTTGAGGGTGTGCCAGGGTGTAGGTGGAAGAACGATTACATTAAACCAAGTGGTCCAAATAAATTGTCCTTAGAGTAGAGTCTGGGGAGCGAGTAAGGTTGGTTCTTTGAGTGTTTGTCTGTCTGCCTGCCTGTCTGTCTGTCTGTCTGTCGTTATAGTGCGGAAGTGGTTCCTTTTACTCAAATAAACAAACAAACAAACAAAGAAGCCAACACATTGTTCCACCCAACAACAGGATAATTTATGAAGATGACGTTGAATCAACCAGCGGATAAACGCTGTAGTATTCAAATTGACTACTCAGTGTAATGCTTCGGCATACGTCCCGTTTCAAAATGGCGTATGGCGGAGACTTGTAGTTAAATAGTCGAAGTGGGTGGTTGGCGAGTGCTCTATTGTGGTTTGCTCCTTTTTTCCTATTCAATATCTATCGTCCTTATCTCCCCTCCTTTTATTTTGTGTTTGTTAGTCTATTGTAACACCTCTAATCTTTTGCACTTATATGACCTTATTGTGTTGCAAGTGCCGTAAAACACTTAATAAAACTAAAAGACGTGGCATTCTCGACCTTCGGTCGTTTTGTGGATTTGTTAAGGCTCTCAACCCATTTGGCTCGGTCCTATCGGAGACAGACATTAAATTCGGATGTCCCGCCTCTTAAATAACCAAATACTGTTGGTAGGGGCGTTAAACCAATACACATTACCTTCTTTTCTTTGTATGTTACTCTCAGATAACACTTTTGATATACAGCGATTATATATGACCTAATTGTGATGCAAATGCCGTGATAGTTTTATTAAAACTAAAACACTGGGTCAACTGCGCACGTTCCCAACTTATAAGTGCGGATGATTGGAGTGCGCCACTGGCAGGCCCTACTTCTTTACTTTCCCTCTGTTATTTCTGTCTGCCTGTCTGTCTGTCTGTCTGTCTGTCTGTCTGTCTGTCTGTCTGTCTGTCTGTCTGTCTTACTTTTTCTTAGCACTCAGTTAATGACCATTATTGGGTCGATATGCTTCTCTTTCCTCAAACTCAAACTCACGTGTGGGTGGCTGGCGGGTGTAAGTGCAGTAAAACGCTTACTCAAACTCAAACTCAAACTCACATGTTCTCTCGTTCCCTCCACAGAATGGCAAACGCCCGGGCGAAGGCGGAAGCCGCGGACCATGCAGCCGAGCGAGCACAGAAAGACAGCGACATCGCGAGGTTAAAAGCCAAGGAGTTTGCACCAGAATTCCACCAGCCAGGTACAATTGTTTGTTGTCTGTTTATTTTTGTTGTTTGTTGGTTTGTTTTGTTTGTTTTGTTGTGTTGTGTTATCTTGGGCTTTTGGGGGGGGTGTTTGTTTGTTTTGTTGTTGTTGTTGTTTTGTTTGCTTGGGGGGGTTCTTTTTTTTTGGGGGGGGGGGTGTTTCTCCACCCTGTATCTGCAAAGGGCGAGGGGGGTGGTGGAGTAATTCTACAGCCTTTTCTCAAACTGTTGCCGACAGCATGTTGAACAAATCCTGGAGCTCGAAAGTTAACACCAACCTGATTTTGACATTTGAAAGAGTTTTAGCTTTTGATTGAGAGTAAACCCTGGAAGTTTTGCAGAGATGCAAAAGGTCATCACATCGAGTTTTTAACTTGAGTCGTTCTCTCGTTGTGATCTTCTCATATTTTGTTGAAGACTCATGCTAGCTCCTATGGCAGACAAATTATTGAGTCTTGTCTTTGTTTTACCTCTGAGTTGATTGTATAGCTTTGTTGTGCTTGGGGTTTTTTTTCGGGAAAAGGGGGCATGATGTCAGTCTGTGGGACCCACTTGTCACAATACAATAGCAAAGAATGGCTTCAAAAGCTCAATGTCAGCTCGATCTAAAATGTTAATATAATTATAGTTAAATACATTCTCTTTTGTGCGTCCGTTTTTTTGCTGCGTGAGTGAAAGATCAGAAAGGGGGGTGAGGGTGAGGGTGGGGCCATTGAGGCTCTGGCATAGTCTTCTTCTTCCACTTCTTTTAGGTGTTCCCATTATCTTTGTTTTGTCTTTGCAAAATGTAATGGCATTTATGGCGTTGGTAGTTTGATGGTTAAGCAACCGGTCTTGAAACCGTGAGGCTGCGGGTTCTGAGGTAGAGGTGGGCAAAATCTGGATAATCTATAAGGATAACCGGATAGTTCTCAATGAAACATTATCCGAATTCAGACTCTTAACTCTCTTTCCTGACCCGTTTGCCGAAGTGGGTGCACCCATTTTTTGAAGTGATGCTAACCCGTTTGTCGAAGCGGTTCTAACCCTTTTGCCGAAGCGGTTCATGTCATATTATTTGCCGAAGAGGTGCACTAACATATTATCCGGATTTTGCTAAAGCGACTCATTGCCCAGCCCTATTCCGAGGTTCGAGGCTCAGCTCGGCGCGACGTTATGTCCTTGGGAAGATATTTTGCACAAATTTTCATCTACACACCCAAGTGTGAATGAGTATCCGGCCATAGCCAGAGAAATATCTTGTCCATATATGAGTCTTTTAGGGCCTGTAAAATGACAGCTTGTACTGTTTGCTTCCTGGGGAGTTGAGATTGTTTCAGAATGCCATCAGGTCTCCTGGGGTAATGCTATTGATTGTAAAGCACATAGAGCTTGCTGTTGAGCAGGAATTTGTGTTCTACAATAAATGCTATCAATTATTAATGGTCACTCGCTAATAACTTCCGCTCTTTTATCCGATATAAAGAAAAAGAGAAAAAAAAACAACCAATTGTGCATACCTTTGGAATACTTTAACTCTGCCAGGTTTTTATTTTTATATTCTAAGCAATTTGTCTCTTTACGTTTTTTTAGGAGCCTCTCGGTGTTTATTATGCTTATTTCCGCTTTTGGGACTTTCTCTTTTCACGGTCCTTAACCAGTCTTGTCAGCTGTCTGTTGGAACGTCCAGTTCCCCTTTTCCTGTACATCCAAGATTTTAATGCATATTCTTTCCATTTCTCTATCGTGCTCTGACTGTATATCATATTGGTTCCAAATTAGTAACAATATATTTTGTGAATGTGCATGCATTTACCCGCTCCATTTTGATGTATCTATTACAGGCACCGATATCATCAAAAAGCAACTGGAAAATAACGAGATCGAGTACGACTTCAGTCACGTACAGGGTCTGGGTAACCACCAGCCACATCGCTCCAAGTCGCTGAACACACCCCATCAACAGTCCCACTTTGACGGGCAGGACCCCAGTGGGCTGTCTGCTTTGGCTGCTCTTCAGGCTGAAGGTGGCCCGCACGGAATGGCCAACGACTACAGCCACCATCAGCATCAGCAGCTCCTCAACATGATGCCGGGCGGGCTCGGCGGCCAAGGGGCGGAGCAAACCCAGGCTCTGAGCGTCAATCAGCACTCGCGAAGCCCCTCCCTCAAAGTGCGCCGCTACAGTTTTCTCGCTGGCTCGCGGAGAGGGCGTGGCTTCAGCGAAATTTTCAACTCTACCATTCTCAACGATCATTTCGATCAGTACACTGCAGCGGACAGTGGAATCGGTGGCGACGGTTTAGGTATGGTAAATTCTAATAGCAGTAGTCATAGTAATAACTCTCATAGTCAAAGCAACCATAACCCACGACTGCGCCAGCCGCCCGCCAACCCGTCTCCTGACTCGGGGGTCTCGGACAGCATGGACGACGACACCAGCAAAAACCGATCCCTACAGAGAAGGCGCACCATGCCATGTATCGTCGATGACGTGGATTCCACGAAAAAGTCTGAGCTTGCAGCCGCCAAACAACAGCTCGTCGAGAGAGAAACAGCACACAGCAGCGAAAACCTCACCAATAAAAACCCAGACACATTCATTATTGAGAATGGCATTCGGAAACGGATCAGAGCTGAAGTTCATTCTAATCCTAACAAAGAGTTAGGCCAGCTTCCAAAAGAATACAGAATCATGGATACGAACGCGCTGGCAGGTGGCGCTGCAGGGACCGACAAGAGAGGCAGTCTTCCTGACCTCAAGAACGTCACGACTGTGAAGCCAATGTCGAGGAGAGAAGCGTATCAGCTGAGCAACGCCAGGCGGGAGGAAATTCGGCGTCTGCAGGACCTGGCGGAGAGAAGAAGACAAGGGGACATGTCTGTTATACTCGGTGATGTTCGGGTAAGTTTGGAGCGCCTTTGGGCTGGTTGGGTGAATTTTTTCTCTTTGAAGACCTATTTGTGAGATACTTTTTTACATTTATGTTCTAGTGGCTTTTGATCTCAGTGGACATGGCTGTTATACTCTGGTGTTAAGATAAGTTTTGAGCTCACTATTAAGGGAATTTGAAGGTTTTTGTCTTCCGAAACCCATGTTTGAAGTACTATATATTACTTCACGGGGAGTAGGGAATGGAGAACTTCTTTTGGATGTGTAGTGTGATGTGGGACATGAGCTCTTCTTTGGATTAAGGCAGGTACCACTAGCACAGATTAGAAGAGGCTGAACTGCTATGCGGGTGAACCGGGTTCATATCTCTAATCTGGCTCTCTGGTACTTAGTTTGAGGACGCCAAATTGGATATTTTATGGCTCTCCAGAAGGCTAAGTCCTGTTAGGATCGATTTAAAATCAGGTCTCATCTCGTAAATGAACCTAAGGGGTTATTGATGAAAGTAGCTCTCTTGAGACATGTGGGGGTTTTTTTTATATTGTGAACGACGACAGGAATAAAGTTCAACAAGAACTTAGTCCAGATAATTGTTCCTCCTTGCAAGTACATTCTTGAGGGGGTCTAAATTATCTGTTTGCCTGAGCTCTGTGGGTGTTTTATGTTTTATAGAAGTGATGTCAACAAAGGCTGTTATTAATATTCTTTCTTTCGTTTTTCAGGAACAGGAGCCATAGCTTGTATTTGTGTATATTTTGTGTATATCTCGTGCATATCTGTTTGTCAGTGTACCCGTCTTGTCTGTCTTTGAGTGTAGGATGTGGTTAAGAACAGACTGTTCACAAAACCTAGTATATTAAGACATATATACTACAACTGGTTTGTATTTTCTTTCCCCCCTTTTTTTTGGGGGGGGGGGGGGGGAATTACTATATTTGGAACCTCGGTGTATATCGGATGTCCAAGTAATGGTATGTTTACTAATATGTTGTGAATTGTTGTTGAACTTCGTTGTCTTTTATGGTTTGTGGGTGATTGATGGGCGCTCTGATGTGGTTTCTCCATCTTTCTTAACAAATATCTATCGTCTTTTCTCTCCTTCTTCTTTTCTTTGTACATTACTCTCTCGTAGCACCTCTAATCTTGGGCACTTACATGGTCTATTCGTTGCAAGTGCCATACAACTGTCACTAAAACTATTTTTAAAAGTCCTTAATAGCAACAACAACAGCAACAACAACAACAGCGACTATGACGACTACGACATCAACGAGAACAACAACAATAAGGACAACAACAATAACACCGTGCATTCCATACAGTGTCTCTGGAACTGGCTTCTGGCCAACTGTAATTGTGACTGTAGATTGATATGCCCCCCTTCAAGACACTTTAGATCATTTAGAAAGCTAGTTTATTCGACCCTGCCTGTCAGGGCCAACCCAAGCTACACATTGTAACCCCCCCCCCCCCCCCCGCGGGGGGGGGGGGGGGCGATGCTGCTGACTGGAGTGTCTTTAGGCCGTTCCCTTATGCACAGTAGACTTGTAAATGGGCTGATTCGTCGATGTCATGCTCATAAGTGTGCCTGAACTGCAACAGGGAACTGCTGCTTTCTCTTTCCTAATCCTTACTGTCGTCATTTTTCCTCTAGTTTAGTAGTTGGTCACGCTCTTGTGACTGTTATTTCCGGGGTCCTTAATAGTTGAAGCAGACTTTGTGCTGTTGAAGCTAGAGAGGTGAGCAGAGTAAGTCTTGATTCCCTGTAAGGACTTTTCTGTTGACATCCGCCCCTTGGCGCTCATATGACCTTAAACAGTTGCGAATGCCGTAAAACATGTACTAAAACAATAAGAATGCGACAACATCGCAACAGGTAGAAGAAAATATTCAATTTAAAAAAAATTAAAATACTTCCCACAAGGGAATTGAACCTCATATTCTGTGTGCAGCAATGCGACATCCAGCTGATACCCTGCAGACACATCGTCGTCTCAGAACTATTTTGTCCAAAGTGCCTCTTTACTGAAGCACTCATTGGACAAAATAGTTCTTAGGCAACGACCTGATCTCAATATGAAATGCAACCAAGCCAGGCTTTCGAGCTTACTCAAACAAACAATCAAAGTGTGTTGGCCTATCTCTAAAAGATATTTACGCTTGAATGATGACAAATAGACAAACAAGATTTCAATGTCCTAAAAACGTTGTCTTTTCTTTCAGGACTGGTGTCAAGAACGGCAACTTCTTGTGCTGGTCATTGCACTCAACTTGAGTTTAGCCACAATGTTCTTCAATCTGCTGTCATGAGGTGGCAAAGGTTTTTTGGAGGACTTTGAACTGAGTCAACAACCCCTATTTCTTCCCTGCCACGCCCACTTGTCTTGGTACAGTATCTCTCTCTGGTAGGACCCGACATGTGACTGCCAATCAGATGCTGTGTCTGTCCCCGAGACAGTGGAATCCTCCGGAAGATGGCTTTGATTCAAAGACGAGCTCACTCTCACTGGGAAATGTGAGCTGGGAGACTGTCAAGTAAAAGCATTATTCTTTATGAACTAACCAGCTTGACAGCAAGAACATTTAAGAGTCACCTGACAAGAAAGTTTACCATTTTGTTTGTCAGTTTTAAGTTATGTGTTTGTTGATCTGTCATCCCTGTTACACTTTAGCTCATTTTTTTTTTCCAATAGCCCAGAGTTTTTGCACACTTCTTATGCTTTCTGCATGTATTTTTAAAGGACCCATCGCACCGTAAACAAACTTTTTATATGTTTTAGAGCTTGATCCCGTGATTCCGATGATGTAAGTCTCTGCCGTGCGGTGAACCGCATTTGAGATATTCAAGATTTTGACAATTAGAATGGATGCCACCCCAAAAAACAACCTTGTTCCAATCCATCACACTTGTGATATCTGGCTATGAGGGAAGAAAGTTTCAACTTGTGTATGATGCTACTTGTGTGCCGTAAAGCCCTGTTTGCAAATGCTTTCAGCTGAGTTGGTTTTTTCTAAGGGGGTGGGGACGTTGAAAAAAATTATGGAGAAAGCAATTTTGTATCAATTAAATGATATTTCCATTCTTTTTAGTCTGGCATTTGTCCTGACATTTTGTAATGTGTCTTTCTAAACAAGGCTGAGCATGACCTTAGAGCTGTTGAAAAAGGCGACTTTTTCTTTATAGGAACCATATAAATCCATTGCTTTTTCCATGGAAAATTATGAGCAAGAAAGAAGTTCCTCTATGTTCTATGGTTCTGATGAGAGGTGTTTTGTGCAAATTGTGTCCCACATCTTCCTGTACGGAAATCGGGGTGTAGAAAGAATGTGTCTGTAAATAGATTGTGTTATGAGTACAAATGTCAACCAGTCTCTCCTGAGTTATCCTTATCCAGTACAATTTTCTCCACAAGTTGGCCTGCACAGCACGCCAAAGATTTCACATGTGTATCCTCCTATTTTGTTTTATTTTACCTTTTTGTTCTTCTTTTTGGAGGTACTACTTTGACCATGGGCCAAGTACCTTTCTATGGAATGAAGTTACCTGGACTCTTCCCCTGTTGTTTATGATCACTGGTAGCATTTCATTTTTTAAAAACTTTGTCAGCTCAAGAGTAAGGCACTATCGCTCTCAGAAGGTGGAATCTTTGTGCATTTTCATCAATGCATTTTGTGGTTTTGATTGATTCCTATTTCGGTCTTCACCCATTTCTGTTTTGCTTTGTACAACATGCTATTCCTCATCAAACTTGTTGAAAAAAATAGTAGCAATGAAGCCGTATTCTAAGTGGCATATAAATTCACCTGAAGTCTGAGGAGGTGTCAAACTCACAGAGTTGAAAAGTGCGATACGCTTCCTTTTGTATCAGGTATGTTAAAGCATGCCTTATTTGTATTATTTTCTCATTTGCCAAGAAAAGTATTTGATTTCCCCAGTGGTTCGAAAATATTCAAGTTGTGATTCATGAAGTGCCTCATACGTTGAAATGCTGTAATAGCTTTCAAATAGATGTGTTTGATATGTTTTTTCTGGAGTTGTGTGCTTCAGAAATGCATTGTGTTTAGTAAATTTTAAGATAAATGTTTAATCAACAGCTGGGAGAAAAACCACAATTCTATCTTTTTGTAGGACCAAATTCAGCAAATATATATATTATTATTGTGAAAAGGGAAAATAAGCCAGAGCAATAAATTTTTTCACAAAAGTACTTTATGGTTTTATCTGAGAATTATCGGAAGAGCACAGTGTTCAACATTTCATCCTGATAGATTGCAGATTCTTTTCAAAAGGAACGGTGATCTATTTTTGAAACTTTATGGCAGAAATAGTTACTTTTTCACTCTCTGAATAACAATGGGGAGATTTTGAGACTGTGAAGTTGTAAGCATAGTATGATTTCTTTTATGTTAAGGTTTGTTTGATTTGAATATAGGCGATCACTATATTCACAATGCATTACAAAATCACTTCAGTTGTATGAAAGCATGAATTGCTGTTACATATTGTTAAAGTGTGAGATGTGATGACTTGATAAATGTTGATGAGCTTTTGCTCAAAGAATTGTACACTCGTCAAAAATGTGAAAATAGTTCACTCTATCCTTTTTACATATTTTTCTCCGAGAAAATGTTTTAGTCATTTTCATTAGTCTTTCCCGGGTGCACTATAGCATAGTCTTGACTCCTGACCACATGTGATTTCACCCGTGTGATTTTACATTGAACTTTGTATGGTTCAAATGGTACCGTTGCCAAAGAGCAAAAGCTCAACTAAGTGACACAGGTGATAATCGGTTCAGCTTTTTCCTAGTGTAACCTCACTGCTTTTGTAGATTAATGTTTTGCTTTTCACACCTTTTCATCGTGAGAGGAAACGGGAGATGTGGTATGATATTTTGATGTAGCCTACTAGCTTGAAAGATGTGTTATGAAATATTTTGAGTTTTGAGTTTTATGGGATGCAAAGCAATGGTTTATATAATATATAGATTCATTATGGTTACTCACTTATAAAAACTTTTATTTCATAAAATGTGTAACCCAACACAGACCCTAAAGCATTGGGAGCAGAAAAATGGTGTTACACAAAAATTCTCTCACAACTTTGACAAAAAAGTTAATAAATAAGAAAGCAATAGATTTAATGCTCTTAAGCTTTAGTCACCTGGTGTTTTGGCAAGTTTATTCTCGTTAATAGCTCATTTTGACAATGTGTGAGTCAAAGATTAAAAAATTACTTTTCCATGAACGCACGTGTTGAGCGTCCTCCTACAGCAGTTGATGAAGAAGGCACCCAAAGGCAGCCACCAGCTTGCACATGACCAGCACCAACTCATGCATTTGCTGTCGTCATCTCTGTAAAGTACCGTGTCCAGTTTGCTGGTCTGCTTTTCACCTAAACTGCAGATCATATATTGTTTATACCAGCTGTTATGATAATTCTTTCTTCTCATAATACTTAGGACAATGCCTGTGTGTGTGCTGCAGAGCGCACAATGTATACCATACTGGATCAAAATTAGGAAATTATATCTCTTGTACAGGTTTACAAATAAGGTTTCTCTATGTATAATTGTAGAATAGATAAGGACAACTGCACCTTATTGATATCCTTGGAATCTTTTCAGTCCTGAGAATGCTTAAAAACTGTATTTCAGTTATAGATATCAGTGTAATAAAATCTTACAGAATTTCTCACCATATAATTTTGTTGTCTGTGTCTTGCATTGACTGTTATCAACTGCATTTTTCATTAGCAGTTTGGTTTGATTTTTTCCCATTTCTCAATGATGTATGTTAAACTTATGTATTTTGTTTCCTTGCAAAATTGTGTTCCATCATGATTAATTGGCCAACAGGTCACAAAAGACCTATGTGGTGATAAGTGACTGTAATTATCATCTTGCAAATATTTGACACTTCAGAAGAATATGTTACTGATGTACATTATCTGCATTTATAGTATCTACATGGTACCATTTGTTTTGCCAACAACTCGGGCTAAAGAGTAACGTCAGAGGAACTGACTCTCTTCCTGTGTAAAGAGAAGACACTTGTCAGCTGTGTGATCTTTTCTTGTTTATGAATGCTGGAGATGGAGTATGATTCAACAGTTCAAATAGCTTTAGCCTTTTTGAAAAGGCATTTGACCCAGAAGAGACCAGACCATGTGACCCTATTAAACAATCAATGGGAAAAATACAGGACTCATCTTAATTAACTGATAAGAATGACTTAAGTCACAGAACACAACATGTTGTGTCTTCAGTTGCCACCATTTTCAGTTGTTTTTGGGTTTTTTTTAAAATAAAACAGCTTCATTTTTTATTTCAGGGTTTTTGAGTTTGCTATGATGTGATTATTTATGGCTTCAAAGTGTTCTGTGGAGAAGAAGAATTTATGTGTGGCTGAATGGTGAAAATTTTTGAATGATGCTAAGGAATGGGAATTGAAAGAGTTTTATGTTTCAGTGTTTCCACATTGTTATTAGTTTTGTCTTTATTGATCATTCATGGGTTTGTTTCCTTTTTTTTCATTTTATAATTCACCATACCTGCATAATTATGCTGCTTTAACTCAGAACTTTGACATTATGTGAACGAAATTATATTTTAAAGCAAAATTAGAACTTCAAATACAAAACTTCTGGGGAATAGAATTATCACTTGCACATGGTGAAAATATGTGCATATATATTCAGAATTGCCACTTACATACCCTCTCGCATACACATAAATGTATGAAGAGACCCATTTTTAAAAAAAATTATCTTTATTTCTATGTATGCATTAGTTCATGTTAATCCACCTGTCTTTTTATCTTTTGCCTGATCCTCTCTCTATGTTTCTCACTCCTTCTCTCTCAAGGTCATTGTGATTTTTCAACATTGTTCAGTGAAAGAAACAAACCATAGTAAAGCAGAGGAAAGTTGTTTGTAAAGAAAAAAAGGCAAGTGAATTTGGGCTAACTTATATTTATACCCATATCCACTTAAACTGTTCATAGATTCCATGATCTTAGTGCAAATAGTCGTTCTTTAAAATGATGATAAACGTAAGGAATATTCTAAATTGAACTTTTCCTGTTTTGACTCACCTCTGAAAGTTTTTCCTCTGTGCATTTGTAAATTGCCAGACTCATCAGGAACTCATCAGGAACTCATCAGGACTGGCAGATCACAAAGCACTATTGGTGTTCCCAGTGAAAATTTTTTGTAGAAAAAAATGTTTAATAGGACATAAAAAGTAACCAAATCTGACACTTACTCCTGTTTGTGAAATCAAGACCAATCAAGCGTGATGTTAAGTGAAATTGAAAGTATGTTTTTGTTCTTGAGCCTTGAGGTTTTGTGTGTTTTGTTTGGATTTTTTTTTTATGGTTTTCTTTTTCCTTTTATATGAATTCCATTCCCATTAGGAGTCTCACGTTACATTCTGCAGTGATGACATGAATCTTGAGCAGTCTGCTTGGTATGGAATAATCATGAATTTTGTAGAATGTATACAAGTATTGGCAAGTTGAAGGTGTAAATACATTTGCCCTTACATAGAACGACACTACTGAGGGGTGCATGTGGCCTATATGGAGTGGCATAGACTTAATAACCTTTTGTTTGATTCTTTACTTATTTTGTAAAAGTAAACTGTTGTGTTTGATAATATAATACATGGCCCCATTATGGTATGAATGTGTGGTTTACCAGTGCTGTAAAAGCCCTGACCACAAATGCCTAACATCATGTAGTAAGTGAACCTTTTCATCAACATTTATGTTACCAGCACCCACATTTACAAAACTTCGTTTTATGTCCCACAGTAACTATTTGCCCCCTTTCTTTTGCATGGTTTGAATAGTTGAGGCCTTCAGATATGGAGGTTAGCATTTTTGTGTTATTTCTTCCTCCTCAAATCTCCTCTCTCATCTCATCTTACCTTCCCTTCCTCCAAACTGGATTAGATTTTAAAGCTTCTCAAAAGCGTTTTAAAACACTGAAGTGTTGAAAAGACTTATACTTAGTTTCTGAATAGGAGATGAAATCTGTTTCTCAATCATGAATTGTAGGTTGAGCTATAAGTGTGATTTATCTATTTATTTATTTATAAACATACTGAATGGTCTTTCTGAGAAATTATAGTGCTGTCAAAAAGAGGCAGTACTTTCATGGGAGACTGAAATGTCAAAATGAGAAATGAACGTTGCAATGTGGTGATGTTTTGTGTATATAGCTTACCTTTAGTGTACATAGGTGCTCAATACCTTCCTTCCCTGATGCTCATGCATGCTTGATAGTTTTATACACTTTTATTGAAACTTCCTTCTTGCTGTCCCTTTCTCCTTGACCTTCCTTATTACTGAGTTGGGATGAATTCAAGATGTTTTCTGTTGTGTGTTTGTCCTGAAGAATAATATCGATCTAAGGTTTCTGTCTTTCTAAAACAAACAAAGAGTGCCCAACTTTTGAAAAAGAGGTAGTTGAGTTTTGTCAGCGAATTTCTTGCGTTGCATTTTTAATGTTTTAATTTACTTACAACAATGTTGTGAAGGGTTCTCAAATTTTGCAGAAATGTTAGGAGCCCATGTGAGATTATTATAAATTTGGAAGTTATGCAGATCAGCATAAAGTCCTCGTAAAGAAGCAAAGACAGAAAGGGTATGCACTTTCCAAATATAAAATTACAGAAACCCATGACTGTGTCTCAATTGTGCTGTTCTTGCTACCGTGTCACTTTTTTCTTTAGATTTTAGTTTTACTTTTGTGCATCGCAACCATTCAGCACTTCTGATTTCACATCATGTTATACTATATCTTGATCCAATGAATGCAATGTACTGCCAAGGCAACTAGACAATTATGCCAAGTTCTGAACATCAACAGTTTTCAGTAAACTCTTTTAAGTAAAAACAGTTAAAGGCACATACACTTTATGTGTGCGATTTTTATTCTTTTCAAATCCGAGTATTTGAAGTGGCAATTACAGATTTTCCAGTTAAGTGGGTCTAGATACATGTGTGATATTTATTTTTCATCCTTTCAAAATCGACTGGTATGTCTATGGTTTTTGTATTACTACACTCTGTTTCATAAATACATTAGGGGTTTTATGTGCAAACGTAGGGTAAGTTCTAGAACATTTATGACGGAAAAATCATGAGAAATTCAAATTCTTTAAACTGCTTGTAGATTGTCATGTTCAAGATAACTTTTATTTTAGAAAACGAAAAGACACAAACAACACTGGTATGAATGTTTTCAGCTTGGTGTGAATTCTGACAAAAAGTTATGGCATGAAAGGCTACTATATAGAGGAAGTTTGGCTTACATTTATCAACATAAATTTATTTGTCAGTTCGACCAGTACAAAGTTTCTGTTAAATTTCCAGATTTCCCTAAACCCACCGCATCAGAAGATGTTGCCTGTAAGTTGAAATGACATACAGTAACACAGTGACCCATTTTGTATGCCATGGGTCCAAGTCTAAGAATTTTAGAGCCGCGCTAGTTTCAACAAACAGCTCGCAATAATATGAAATTGTTTTGGTCAAAGTGTCTGCACCATGAAACGAGCAGCTGCTTGGATTGAGAAAAATGTATAAAGCTTGCTCACATTATAAAGTTTTAGGCAAAGTCCATGTTTGGCTCATTCTATTAGGGTTTGGGGATTTGTTTTTCTGGATACCATGTTGAATACTTCTACCCTCCCCTCATGAATCATTTTTTATGAACGGAAAATGCGATTATGTGATCAAAAAGCTTATTTCCTTAGAACATACACAAAAATGGTTCATATGCCGCAAGCCATGTATTTTATTACACCATGCAGGCAAAGTTTGGATGAATGTATGATAAAATTATGTGGCTTAGGTATTTTTGTTACCCATATGGGTAAACATCAAGTACCGTTTTCAGACTTCACTGCGTATTTTGTTTAACTACGTAACTGATGCCACAAGTGTTTGGATTCCCTATAATGTATATATATATATTTATATATACCCGTATAATAAGCTTACTTCCAAAGTATGCCTGTTGTTAGTTTGGTTTCCTTTTTTTTTGTGTTTCCCCCCCCCTTCCCTCCTCTTCCTTTCTTAATTGTTTTCATGTCTGCCTGAGTTCACTTTCTAGTAAAGAGTGCCAAGCAGCCAGCAGTACTGATGACACGACTACTGGTAAATAATTTAATAAATTTGCCCTTTTACCTTACAGAATTGTCCGGCTTCTTCTTTCAGCATGGATCAGAAGAGTACCGTACAATGAAATACTTCTTTTGACAAACACCCTATGCAGAATTTTGGTGTTCAGTCAAAGAGAGGTTCAAATTTTTTTTCTTCCTCAAACTTTATCCTGAGCCTGGTACGAAGAGGTCTGCCTTTGTTTTTACAATAAGAAGCACATTGATGCTACGAATGCCAATTGGTACTGGAAAAAAGTAAGACAGATAGTAACAGCAGAGGGGAAGAAAAGTAGGACTCAACAGTGACACCCTTCAACCACCCATTGCCTTTGAAATGACTAAAACTATCCACACAGGTAAAAGCAGCAGAGCGTTGATGTTGACATCATCGTAATTTAACAACAGCCCATCTGACACAAAATATATCGTTCTTCAAAAAAAGACCACTCAGTCCCCTGTCAGGACAATGCAGTGAAAGTGGAAGGGAATATTCTGAGGTAAAAAAAAAAATAGAAATGCAGTAACATTTTGAAAGTCCAACTTGCATGTGGTAGATCAAGTTCAGAACTTTCTGTGTCACAATCACCAACAAAAAGGTCATTTACCGTTTGTGAAGGGTGCTGGCAAAATGAGTTACTTCTCGGATTCGAGCCCTATGGAACTCGCTACATCACGCTTATAGGTGAAATTTTCACAATATATAAGTATGAAATAATATAAGTATAACATACTTAAAGAATATGCCATCAATGGAAAATCTACAAATTTGACCCTAGTGTCGATTTTTTTGCCAATATCCCCATTAATTGTGGATTGTGAGAAGTAACTCATTTTGTCAGCACGTCTCACATTTGAGCCCTGATCTCCTGCGTATTGTAGAACCCTGCACCGGAGCCCCCCTGGCCAAGGCAAGTGTCATAAGTTCTTAATAGGGTAAGAATAAAAGTAAAAGTAGCGCACACTCAAAAAGTATGCACATGTAAATCATTATTTACATCAAATTGCATACCTGACCTTTTCTCTGAATCAAGTATGAAAAAGTTCTGCTGTCAGTTGGAGTTAAATAAAATGAAATGGTCCAGCAGCTTGAAAATTATGTGATAAGAAGTAAAAGTGGACAACGAATTCATTAGTATGAAACAATACAAAAGCTAATACATGTACAAGTACAAGGGTTTAGCAGCCTGTTATAGAGTCCTACTCTTATAACAAACTTTTGTAATTGTAGTGTTTTACAACCGCCATAGACACAATTTAGATCATTTTTATTTAGAGGGCTACTTTCATCCTGCCCGTTGGGTCCAAGCCACACTGAGAGAAGTGAAACATCCATACAGAGAAACAGATACTCGCCATGCAACCTCCTCACTCAGGATTTGAAGTCATGTCTTCTGTGTGTAAAGACAAACGGCCCAACGGCTACAATACAGACATTGGTGACTGCAAAGTTGACAGCCAGGCAAAATGCTTAGCTTCAAAACCCAAATCAGGTCAAAATTTCGTTTTCCAAAACATTTCCCCCAAATCAAGTACCACCATGATGCTATGCTCTGAAAAAAATCCATCAGACATCCTACTTTCTTGTCGACTGAGATGAAAGCAAACCAGGAGTTCAAACTGAAGGAGACAACATGAATCTAAATGTGTCTTAGGCCCCTTTCATACACATTTACCAAATGCCGTCTGCTGTGGACAGCACTGCCATGCATTGAAATAACCACTAGTCTATGGGCACTTTCATATTTATCGACCACGGCATCTCGCCATGGCCGTCGTGGTACGGACGGTGCATACGCCTACATTGGATTCTATGATTGTGTTCATACTAGTCAATGATCAACCGTCGCAGTTTCCTGCATACATATTTCCAACCGAACACATGGTTTCAGAACTGTTCTTATCATGGAGGACGTAGACACAGAAGTTCTGGTCACATCACTGAATGACAAACCTGTACTTTCGGACTAAAGTCTTGAAATTTATCAATCTCAATCGGAAACGATGACTGCATTGAGACAGAAGTTTTTGTTGAAGCATCGGAGGTTTTAAAAAAAATATAACAAAGGCACCAGCTATTGGTCTTTGGATTTTCAGGGGATGGACTCATCGAGTTCTCTGACATGGGTTTTTTTTTCTTTTTAAAATACAGGTAATGTAAGCACATCAGTTCCAAACACCTGTCCATCATGATAAACTAGAGCCAAATGAAGCAAGGTGATGATTTGCCGTCCACGCGGCTGATAAGACGATGTGTGTTATCACAGGCAGCGTGTAGACCACAGCGCGCCATCCACAGTGGACAGTGTTTGGTCGATGTGTATGAATTATTGAAAACGACCTTAATTAAGACTATCAAGATTTATCTCTACTAGAGTGCAGGATATATTGAGAAATCCTTTTTCTAAGGACCAACCTTTACGAACCTCAAAAACTTTTGTACGAGAACAGCCAGAAAAATAACATACATGGCCACGTGTAGGACTGCAAGGGGATGGGGTATGTATCATTAAACTATTTTATTTATTTTAGTAGAGGTTTTACGGCGCTCGCAACTGCATAAGGTCATATGAGCGCCAGAAGATTAGAGGTGTTACAAGAGAGTAACAAACATAAAAAAGAAGAAAGGGGAGATAAAGATGATGGATGTTTGATAGGATAGAAGCAGACCACAATAGACGCCCTATCATTAAACTGAAAAATATGTGACCTAATAATGTTGAAAAAGTACCTTATTCTTTTTCCTCCGTTTTCCCAGCAGTTAATGAGCACATGGCAATTTGCAGAGATAAATTTTTTTTTAAGATATCGTAGAATGCTCACCAATTTCACTGAAAACAACTGTAATAAAATAAAAAGTCACAAGAACAAAATAACAGAAGGTACACTTGAGATTGATGTGATATTTCATGATAAGTTTACTGCTGATTTCCACACACCTTCACTTGTAACTTTCAACAAACTTCACACAGTAGTCCTTGACACTTCACACTTCACAGTCATATTATTTATACACAGGGATTCTGTAGTCATGACATATCATCATCGGAACAAAAATAAACATAATAGAAATATGCATGTATCCAACACATAGCTTTCCATAGTAATGCTTTCAATACATTGTTCAGAGCAATATGGTAGTCAACTTGCATCTACTTCATTTCGAGTAATAAAATATGACCAAATCAAAGAAAACACCATAATATCAATGTGAATAAGATGCAACGTTTTACCTGCAAATCAGGGTTTTTTAAAGTTGTCCAGCATCATATCCAGAAGATACGAAATTAGACCAAAAAAGAGGGGGCCGACCTAGAGAACAAACTCTGTGGGTCAGATAATTTCTTTCTTGGAATAAAATGGACAACTTTTCAATAGACCTGAACCACGCAATAAATCTTGTAAACTATTAAACTTTGAAACTTAATAGCTGCTCCTTGTTGCACTGTAGATCTACATCTAAGACAGCTGACCAAAAATAATTGATTTGTTTTGAAGCGTGGTTTTTAATGAAAATTCCACTAGCAAAGATGATGGTGTTTGCTGTAAAAAAGTTGCTGCGTCTTATCATCTTATCTGATGACTAAATGATTTGGTTCACACATGTGTCCAATGCGATGATATACAAAAATCAACTTCTATAAATCTTGACATATTTCAAGGGTCCTTATGGTAACAATACTAGACAACAGCATTCAACAAGTTCTCTGTGGAGTTATATAAGACGAGGAAGAGGGGAAAATGTTCTCACATATGTCTCCAGGGGTAAGGTAATTCTCAAAACCAGCACATTCAAACAATTTAACAAATACCCTCATAACTAATGCATATATGCATAAGTTCCTACTGCCTCTTGAAAACAAAAAAGATAACAATAACAACTGAAGCAAGCGTACAAAAAACAAATCGCCTGCTAATAAAGCTCATGTCCAACTTTGTATGTTATTGCCTCTGAGCAATTGCTTTCTTCAACATACATGAATGTCAGTCAAAACAACAATATGCCTTTCTGACACTACATATCTTGCAGTGGCGCACTGTGTAAGGCACTGAACCTTGTCGTAGTGATCCCCTGACACGACAACTCAAATGAACACATTCTTGCATGAGAAAGATGAAGACAAAAGCATTATATTTCTTTTGAAATTCGATTTAAAAAATAAACAAACAAATAGACAAAAAAGTAGAAGCTTGAAACAAATAACAAAATATACAAGAAAGGATATACTTAAAGTACCAGGACCCCCCCCCCCCCCCTCCCCCTTTAAATTTCTTCAGAAAAAAAAAACCTCACTGAAAAGTAGAGAAAAACGACCACATAATTTAGAATTACCTGGTCATAAAGGAGAACAACATTTTTAAAAAGAAAATGTTGTCAAATCCCAATATACAGCTACGCCCTAATCAGATACTGGTAAATACAGTGACAGCTTCAATAGAACTATTCTCATTAGCATGAAGCCCAGTACATATTGTTGCAGTAGCCTGTGTAGTCTTTCACATCATCAGCAGGGTTTGGGAAAAGTGAGGATACAATACATGTCTCTGGTGCTTCTTTATGATAACCTGAAACAAACAAAAACAAACAAAATGTAAAGGAAAATACAATAAAAGTTTATCATGCACTGCATAAATTCTTTAGTACCAGATTATCAGTGTCTGTAGTTTAATGATCACTCTTCGCCGTTCTATACAAAAACATGGGCTCTTTTCCCTCATGAGGAAACCTCATCTTGTCAGGTAACTCAGTCTTTCTGTTGTAATGCTGTGTATCCCATTCAGCCAGAGATGGCCCTGACAGGCAAGGTCAAAGCAGCCTGATCCAAAAGTATTTAAATTGTGTCCACGGGGGCATAAACCATTTGCAATTTTTTAAAAACCTTTTAAGAGTACCATAACATTGGCAAACTATTAATATGTACTAAGCCCATAAAACAAGTTTTCAGGAGAGAAAAATACTGTTCCATTCTTTAGACAAACCGTACTTACATTTTTTATTTCTTGCCTTTTTTTCAGTATTAGAATTTGAATTTTGACAAGATATTTTTTCAAAACACATGCTTGTAAACACCCCATTAACTCTTCCCATTCAAGGTAATAAATTTTGACTTTCTTAAAAATTTTAAGTACAGTGATTCAGCATGATAAGACAACAGCCACATTACTGCAGGTCCAGACTGGGAGGACAATAACAGAAAGTGGAAGCATGAGACTACGTCAAATGTCCACCAATCACCCATTTTCAGACCTTTTTGGTGAGCTTTAAAGTACAGTGGAACTAGGATTAAACGAGGTCGCCGGGCCTGACCTAAAATCTCGTTGAATCCGAGTGTTCGTTATATATAGCATACACGAGGTTTTGTGTAGATAATTACAGCCACTGAGCAAGTAAAGTATAAAGAGAAGTCACAAGTAGTTCCTGAAAAGCCTGCATATTATGAGCTGTGTAAAAAAAAAAGACCGATTCATTCAAATGCACACGCCTGTGTCATCTCGATTGTTTACCAAAAAGATGTGTTGCTGTGTAGAACTTAGCATACGGCAACTTTTGATTCTATAGACCGGCGCACAATTCATTACGAAGATCTACGCCAAGACTAGATGATCATTGTAATAATGATCAGTTGCCGAGGGAAAAAAAAACTGTGACGCGTTTGTTTCTGTGACGTTCAACGCCCTGAACGCTGTTCGTTCTGGGAGAAAAATGAGCAAAGCCACGTCTGCAGGGGCTGTTCACCCTGAAAGCGACCTCGTTGAATCCGAGCTCGCTGATTTAAGTGCTCGTTGTTTTAGTTTTAGTAAGAATTTTACGGCACTCGCAACTGCATACGGTCATAAGTGCTCGTTGAATCCGGGTTATTTTTATTGATTTTAAAGAAGGAAAAAAAAAACGGAATCTATCTCATCTCGTTGAATCCAAGTTCTCGTTGAATCCAAGCTCGGTGAATCAGAGTTCCACTGTAGTTGCAAACCTATTAGGTCATATAAGTGCCGAAGATTAGAGGCAAATAAAGAAAGTTAAAAAAAAAGGAAAGTGATACGGTTTAGTTTTAGTAGAGGTTTTGCGACGCTTGCAACTGCATAAGGTCATATAAGTGCCGAAGATTAGAGGTGTTACAAGAGAGAAACAAACATAAAAAAGGACAGGAGATCAGGACAATAGATGTTTGATAGGAAAGAAGGAGCAAACCACACCACAGCACCCGCCAACCACCCACAGACCAACCAATACTATAGGGCTGCCAAGGTTTTTAGTAATGACCATGAATTAGTAATTTTCCTTTAAAAAATTTTGTTTGTTTGTTTTTGTAAAGTGTTTTACAGCACTCGCAACTGCATAAGGTCATATGAGCGCGCGGGACACACCTAATATTTTCCGTGGGTAGGAAATTTTGAATTTTGCCTGGGTGGCGGCCGAAGCCTACTCTTATCAATTTTAAACCACCAAGGGATCTTTAACATGCGCAACTTGCACACGGGCCCTCCGAGATTTTTCGCCCTTGTCCGAGAAGGCTAGGTGTACATCTTTCCTACCAGAAGATCAGGGGTGTGGCAGAAAGACAGCTGTAAGGAGGAGCCAAGGAGTAGCAGTAGAAAGGCTGCAGAAAGAGTCAGGAGCCCAGAGGAGGGGGCAAAGGAGGTGATGGGGTGGGGGCAGAAAGTGGAAATGAAAGCAGACAACAGAACATTGCTAGAGAGCAGGAAAAAAGGTGAAAGGAGACAATTTTAGAGAAGAAAATTTTTTGGTCGCTACCCGGATTCGAACCCGGACCTTTTGAATGAGAGGCCTTACCCTCTAGGCCACGAGAGCCCCCCCGTAAAAATTAGTAATAGAGCTCTCATTTTCAAATTACTATATTACAACAAACAAAAATATGTCTTAAGTACGGAAAAAGAGGGCTTATCGAAAATTAAATAAATGTGAAGGCCAAAGTTTTGCTTTAACTCATTCGCTACGCCGAGCCGTGGGGGGCGGCGCGGCTCAAGTGCCGTCAGTACGTTAAGCCGCCCCCGGCGGCTCGAGAACCGACGTTCAATTTTAGCTTGGTTTCTATTCCAATCCACATATCCATGTTAAAATAAAAGTCATAATATAATGTTGACTTCCGGGTCAAGCGTTTCCACCGAAAATCGGAAGTTTTGATTCAGTTTTGAAACATGATTTCGTAGTTTATTCGACTTTGTTTTATCGCGAAGCCCAAATTATAGCCCAGACACCAGTCTTAGTACTTTTACACAACAAAATGTTTAATTACTTTGCTCACTAAAGAAGTGTAGGACTCTTCTTTATAATATTGATACTATTGGACGCAAATTGCCGGTGCACTGTAATTGAGAAATCAATATTTTTGAGTGCTAGATCTAGGCCTAGATCTAAATAGTCAAAATATTTTTTTCTCCCCAAAATCACTACTTTTGGGTGAAATTAATCAAAAAGTACCACTCAAGACATGTATAGGTTTATTCCAAATGCAATTCTGAATAATTCCATATAAGTTACGCGTATTTTTTTCTGTTTGTGATCCTTTTTTCAAAATCATTTAAAAACATTTTTTTTTTTTAATATCGGATGTTATGATCCAAATGTACAAATATTATGGAATGTATGTAAATAACTGCACATTTTTCAATATTTATGTTCTATATACAGTTATGGTTATTTTGAGGTATCATTTGACTAGGTTCAAACATGTTTTTTTAGTTTCACCTGAGATTATAAATTTTTTATTTTCCAATTTTATCAGCATCCAATCACAATTGTGTTGCATAATCGCCTCTTACAGGAACCAAAGTTGAAAAATACGCAAATAAATAATGCAGGTGTATTCTACAAACCATACTGAAAATGTTGGTATATAACATGTTGATATTTATTTGAATTTATGGCCCCAAAGACCTGTGAACTGCGCACTAGTCATCATCTCATTTCGCCCTCCCGAAAAGAATTCGTCCACAAGCCAAAAATAATACGTAGCGAATGAGTTAAACTCACCTTTAAAATCACAAAATGGTAGATGACAGATGTAATGGATTTAGGGCTGCATTTCAGACTCTGGTGAGTGAGAGAGAGAGAGAGAGAGAGAGAGAGAGAGAGAGAGAGAGAGAGAGAGAGACAGACAGACAGAGAGAGAGAGAGAAAAAGTTCCTGCGTATGCATGTGTGTGAGAGAGAGATAGATAGATAGATAGGTGGGTTGATTTAGAGATTGGCGGTTTTCCGAATTATTGGCAGACGATTTACAGGTCTGCACTAAGACTTGTAAAAAAATTTTTAAAGAGCCAAAAATAAAAATTTTTATCGCCAAAAATCTGCTGACGGTAAAAATTGTAATAAATCGCCTTATCATTGGAAATTCGTAGTGAGGCCTTAAAAAATCGTAATGATTACTAAAAAATTGGAATGGTTGGCAGCCCTGATACTATCATCCAACAGCCCACAGAGGAGGAGATGGATAGGTGGTGAGAACAACAAGAACAACATAAACAAAAAAAAGGCAGGAAAGACACCGCAATATTTTTAAACACTTTCCTTAAAAAAAGAAAAAGAAAAAGAAAAAAAACACCACAACTTACGTGTCAACAAGCGAGTCTCTCATTTGTGTCTGTATCTGTGACGGTTCTCTGTCGCTGAGCTTGAAGACACTCTCGATCACGGAGACCTCAGTGGAGGTTGTGTCTTGTCCGCAGACAGCCATCCAATCATTAACCACCAGGCCCGCAGCCAGCACATCACTGCCACGGTTCACAGTACCTGCCTGGCAATGCACACAAATTCAAGATTCAAGCAATTTCTGTAAGGTCAAACACAAGCATGACCAATCTATGGCCAGAGAGTCGATACAGTAATTAATCATCAATCAGGCCCCTGATGAGTTGATAATTAATATAAACAAATCTGTCTGTCTTAAGGGGAGGAGCGACCCTTGATTTTGCCGATTTTGGGTCAGGCTATGCACAATAAGATGTTGGCTGATTTTTTAAGATCAACCAGTTCTTCGTCTAAAAATAGCATTGAGACAACTGAGAAAGTCTTTATTCTCCTCGTAAATTGCCTTTGAAAACATGAGGGTGGGTTAACATAGTGAATGTTCACAATAATTGTCGTTTTTCCCAAAATGTCTTTTTTTTGGCAGTTTTTTTCCCTACTCGTTCTTTAGTTTTCATCCTTTTGACATGAAACTTTCAGGAAACATAGAGGCAAGGCAGTGATCAATGTATCAAAGAGATATTTTCAGAAAAAAAAAAGACTTTTCCATTGGCAAGCGATTACGCAACCTAAATTAAGATATGGTTTTGGGAAAATTCTCTTTTTTTTTTTCTCTTTCGCACTTATTGAAAAAAAACTCGCTGTTACACTGATAGGGTCTGATTCAGGTATACTCTCACCATATTTGGTCAGTAATTAAGAAAGCCTTATGGATTTGAAATTCATTGTTTATTTTAAAGATGGCGGCCGTTTCCATTGCAACCGCTCTAACTATGCCAAAATAAAATGGCGTATCAAGAGATTTTCCAATGCCTAACTTATATGTGTACTTAGATTTGATCTTGGGCAACAAACCTAGAAAATGGTCCTCAAGGGCATTAAAATGAATAGTATCCATCCCAGCTGAAAGCGAAAGATCTCATTAAATGCCCTTGAGCGACATATGCTATGATGTCAATTTTAGTCTCTTTTTTTTCAGAGCTTGGGTTTTCAAACCAATTTCACTCAGTTTTTCTCCTTCCGTGGCCCATGAGACATTCAGCCTTGCTTGCTTAATCCGACCCGAGACTTGGACACACTTGCCCATGCCTGGTCTTACACCTATGTCAGAGCTGATGAGTATACTTCACTCCAGGTAGTGTCTCCTTCAGGACCATCTATTAGAATACTTGCTAGGAAGAAAGATTCTTAACAAACCTGTCCAACTTTCTATATCGAATCCACGCTCTCTAGACATTCCTTAAGCAGAAGGAAAACATGCTTTGACCTTTGACCCTCTTCTGGGTACATGTTACCTTAAAACAAAATGATTTCAATATCTGCATGATGGGTATACTTTTTCTCAGAAAGCATAGCAGGCAGGCATAGTTCTGGCTGGTCTGCCAGCCATAGTATGGCTCGCTTGTAAGCTGCTAAAGGGGGGGAGGAGCTGAAGGCGGCTATTTCACTTATTAGAGGGTCAAATGTTACCAAATTTCACACATAAAAGCATAGTAAGGAGCCTTAAAATCCGCTTTCAAATTTGAGAAAAAAAAAATTTTTCCATTGATATGGCGGTCATATAGGATTTTTGTGACATTTCTTATATAATTAATACCGTACTTAGTTTTCATGAATATAAACGGGGGGTTTTTTGCATGCATTTCGGCTAACAATAGATCAACCAATCTGTGTGCTGAATTTTCCTAAACGTACTAGAAAATTTTTAGTGAATTTTTTCCTGAGGTAGTATTCACATTTGCAAAAAAGCCATGAAAATCCACACTCCAAACACCACCAACAAAAACTATTCCAAATATCATAAATTCATCAAAAAAGTTATAGTATTCCATCTTTTCTTCATTTTTCACGAAAATTTGATGAAAAATGGTAAAGTTATTATTTTTTAAGTATATAGAAAAACGTTTCGAGAAAACGGGCGATAAAGAAAAATAAAAGATTGACTTTATGAGGAAATGGGAGTGTCAAACATGCCCAGTATGGGAAGAAATAAGGCTTCAGGGGGTTCTTTTATGCAATGAAATAGTTGTAAGAGAGGCAGAAGAAGCTAAAAATGCCTATAACTTAAAACCCATAGCTTTGAGCCGAACCGGGACTTTCGGGGTGCCGCCCCCCCCCCCCCCCCAAACACTTTGCTGCCTCATCTCGCCGATAGGCGATGTTTATCGCCCAGTTTCTTTGGATTTTCCCCACAATATGACGGCAAAGTGTTAACAGTGCTTTTTAAAACCCTTTCTTTATTTAAAAGGTATCACAAATATCTCAATGTCAGTTTGCAGTAGGTCACCCAAAGCCCAAGAACAACATCCAGAAAAAAATTCTGCCAAACACCAAGGGACAGAATTGATCACATCTGGTCTAGAAGACAGCAATCTTATTTTTTACACCACACTAACCCCCAAAAACAAGGGCAATAGCAAAGTGAAGTTTACATAAAGAACAAGCTCATTATTATGAAGTTGCTCACAACACTCGTATGCTCTGCAGTCATCTTGAAACATAGACAAATGTTCAAAATAACTAAATGAAAAACCAAAAAAATGAAAAACAGGAACCATTTTCTCACAGTACGGGTTTTAAATATAAATAAACACCCACCTTCAAAAACCAGTCAGAGCTAGTACTTCAAAGGACAAAGGGGTTAGACAGTACAATTGGATAGAATATTTTTGACAAATCACCCACGATCTCCACATTTTACAAGTTTGATCATTAATTATGATTTCATTTTAGAATCCCCCAAATAGTCTTAGAAAGCAATACTGCTTTAAACTATAGAATATATCAAAACAATATGGGAGCGGTCACTCAATTCAATAATCATTTCCCTGTCACAATAGTTTGCTGTACGAGAAAAAGAGAGACATTGCCGCCACACGCAAAAGGCCTAAATTTTTATCCCATATATGGATGAGAATTTTTAGCGAATATCTCACTTTTTCTGCTGTTTTGTTGTATCCCTCCCAGCCCAGGTTGGCCTTGACGGGCAGGGTTGAGGCCTGCTTCCTAAACCATCTTAATTGAGGCTATGGGGAAATTTTTAAAAACACCTACAAGTTATTAAACAAAACCAAAAAAAAAGAGAGAAAGAGAGAAAAAGACAAAACCACAATCATGGCTACTGGGAGCATGCAGAAAGTAAGAAGACTGGAAATGTAGCCTGACAGCAAAATGTAAGACCTACCAGTGCCCTCATCTGCATTTGTCTGTACCTTGTTCAGGAGGCTAGACGAAACTACTTGTTTCTTTCAAAGTAAATGGACGAGATGAATGAATATATCATATCTACTTACCACAAGAGGAACTTGTAATAAGGATGACAACTCGTCAAGGTCTTCGACTGAGGTTTTAGGAGGAACCTGCAATTCACATCAAAGGTAAAGTAGAATGAAATCTTGAATACAGCTGCCTGCTCAATTTTTTTAAAAGTACATCAACACAATAATCAGTTACTTAGTGCTGGTAAAAGTCAGGCAGACAGACTGACAGAAACATAAGAGGGAAAGCAAAGAGGTAGGACCTGCAAATGATGCCCTTCAACCATTAATAGTAAAACAACACTGTCAAATAATTATTTTTAGCTTTAGTAAGAGTTTAACAGCACTTGCAACACAATAAGGTCAAATAAGTGCTAAAGATTGGGTGTTACTAGAGAGTAACAAACAAAAAAAGGAGGAGAAGAGATCAGGACAATACATGTTTGATAGGAAAGAAAGAGTAAACCACACCATAGCACTTGTCAACCACCCACATCAAAGAACAATTGCCGTACTTAGCAAAAAAAAATTTTCTTAACCCACAGACTATAACACAAAATAAAGATCAGAGTCCCCTATAAAACATCATTACAGGCAAGCAGGTAATGCAAGAACAAGACTCAACAAAATCAATGCTGAAACTGATACAATCTCAGTAATGGTAATTGGGTAATTGCCATCTTCTTCTCGAACCTCTTAAAGTTCAGGGAGCAGTGCAGTTGATTTTACCATACATAGCCATTTTATCTACATAGAAAGTAGAAACATCTCTTGCCTGACAGGCAGCTACATGCCGTTTTCAACAACACATATGTACTCTTAATATTTATGCTGACTTGGGTGGTTTAGCTATGAGTTCACATTAATTTTTTAATTTTGCCCAGACACCAAATTGACAGGCTTACCCTTTTTTATCAAGGGATCTTTAATGTGCAGAACTTTCAAACAGGATATTTGAAATTTTTCGTACTTTCCTGAGAACACTACGTGCTTTGTACTACCAACCCTAGGATCAAAGGGTGCAGAATAACATTACTAAAAAACCCAATGCCGGCATGCTGGTGGGGATCAAACTTCAGACCTCCGAGTTGACAGGTGAACACCATACCTGTTAAGCTACTGAGCCCCCACCCAGTAATTGCCATATTTTCTACCTATCTGACAAATTGTGTTTCTTCCTATTTTTGGACAAGAGGATCACAACAGTAGTAAAAGTATTTTACACTTTTAAAAAAGGGTTCAAATAAACCACTGAGATTAACCTGGACTGTAAATCAAAAAGACAATAGCAATTCACTTCAACCTACTAACAAATACTACAAGTTAAAGAAGAAACAGGGCACTGCAAAGAAAAGAGAGAACAATTTTGAATAACAATTTCTCACCATGCCTCCCTGATTGCTGAAAGCTGTATAGCTGCCAACTAAAACATTGCTGGCGACAGTGTGGCGGAACACTTCCACATTGAGGGTGTCCACCAAGAGTTCTTCTGTTTCCTGGAGAGGAAATTGCGTACACATTATAATAAGGTCCATATTTTTTAATGGAAGCACAGACTGCCATATCATCTCCTATTGTTGAGAGGAGAAATAAAGTGTGGGAACACGGAGACTAAAGCTTACACGAAGGTAAGAATACAAACAAAATAAACAATCGCCTGTAAAAACAGACCAAAATCCAAAAAGTTGCTAAACACATGCTTCAAGCATATATAAACAATAAAGACTGTCTAAAAAGCAAAATACACGTGTAGAAAGGTTTTTAGTTATTTTCTGCCACGATATGCAATAGTAAACAACACTTTTGTTACTGTATGATTTGTTTTCAATTTAAAAAAACACCAAAAAGCAGTTCACCTGTCCGCTTATAAAATATCGAAAACAATTATATTCCGAAAATAGTGTAGCATTATGAATCTAGACATAAAAGAAACCAGTTTTCTTGTCATTACACTAAATTCCAACAGAATGAAATTAAACAATATTTCATATCACTCATGTCAGTGATTATAACATGTTAGTATTGTTAGCTTTTATTAATCTGGGTTTGTTGCTGGGGTGTTGTTGGTTGTTGGGTTTTTTTTTGGGGGGGGTAGTAAGTGTTTTACGGCGCTTGCAACAGCATCAGGTCATATGTGAGGCATCAAGGTGAAATCAGGCGTTCGTCAAAATAATGAAATCAAATAAAAAAGCATTTTTCCGCCAGTTTGGCAATTTTTATTGAAATTTTGCTTTTTGGCTAAACACACTTTATGCTCGTATGAAAAAACATTTCCATATAAATTTTACTGAAAAAACCTTGTTTAAAGGCACAAAATATGTAATTTTCAGTTCCCAAGGACTCTTAAGCTATTGAAGTTACTAAACTTTGGCGGCCATTTTCTTGCTAATTTTACTTCTGAAACCAGGCGACCCCACCTCCTTCAATCACAAATATCTCAACTTCTATTTAAGATAAATGGGTACTTTCTTTCATCGAAAGCAAGGAAAATGAACAGCCTTTAAGATGACACCAATAACTCCATATGCCCAAAAGCTGACGAGTGCCTGATTCCACTGCGTCGTGACACATATGAGCGCACAGGACACATTTAACATTTTTCAGTTGGTAAGAAATTCTGAATTATGCCCGGGCGGCAGCCAAAGTCTACTCTTATCGATTCTAGGACCACCAAAGGATCTTTAACGTGCACAACTTGCACACAGGACCTCTGAAATTCTTAGCCCTTATCCGAAAAGGCTAGGTGTAAGACCTTACCTACCATAAGATTAGGAGTGTGGATGAAAGACAGCAGCGAGAAAAAGCCAAGGAGTAGCAGTAGAAAGTCCGCAGAAAGAGTCAGGAGCCCAGAGGAGGGGGCAAGGGAGGGGGGCCTCAGATAGTGGAGACGAAAGCTGAAAACAGTATTTTCATTTAATCTTTCAGCCCATTTTCTTCCTTCATTAATGCCTCTCATTTCACACTTGAATAGATTTGATGGTAATTTAATAAAATTGTATAATATAAACCACAACACATACCCGATCAAGGTCTGGGTGCACCAAGGCAACATAGTCATTGCATGCAATAACATTTCCCAATGCAGACAATTTTTCCTCAGCTCTGTAGATTTTGACAGTATCAGGAAGGGCATTACGTATGTGCTGAAGTTCTTGATCTGTTGTTGTGTTTGGAACTAAGAGACCATGACGGTTTCCTGGTTTAAAGAGAGAAAAATACACACACATTAAACATTTACAATCCACAAGAAAACTCAATGATTACTATGTAGTCCAAACTATAAACATAATTTTTGTTATGCCTTATCAAATAAAAAGACACAGGTCACCTCTTACCCACAATGTCAAACAGTAAACTTACTTACTTACTACCCATTACGCCATCTGGCGTTTAGGGCAGCAACAAAGGATCTCCAGCTCTAACAGTAAAAGTAGACCATAAAGTAGTTTGGCCTGGCACACAGATTCATTTCGAGTTTACACAATGTCGGTAATTTCATTAAAATGAGTCAAGTTCATTCTATGACGCCTAATGTTAATTTTATAGGTGGCGTCCCAAAGTGCCCCTTATTGATACTCAGCATGTACAGTGATATCCATCGCACATTATAGACGGTTACAAAGCCTATGATCTAAATTGTCTTTAACTTCACTTGGCATAGTTGTTTTCCCATTAACTCTTTATCTCCGGCAAGCCACTCCCAGCAGTGGGAACCACTGTGCCAGTGAGTCCCTGACAGCGGCTTGGCCACATTCCTTTACGACGACTTCAACATCAAATTGCTTTCCGGCAGTTGCCGAAAACAAGTCTCTTTCATTGGGATTTCATTCATTAGATGAAGAACTATCAAAATAGGTTCACTTGTTTTGATTTAATTACCAATCTAGTGGTGATTTTGTCATTTTTAGATTTAGTATTACTACCAAAAACGGACCCCGGCATAGTGGGTTTACCCCCCTCGAAGATAAAGAGTTAAATAGTTAATCTCTTCGCCAAATAGGCTATTCTTCAACCTTTACTGCACCCAATTTTTAAAAAACAGGACGGTCATAAGTTTCAGGCAAGATTTACATAATTCATACATTTTCTTTGTCGCAGATTTCCAATCTTTCATTAGTGTTTCTATAAAATTCAATTCACAACTACAGTCAAACCTGTGTAAGACGGCCACCCATTGTCAAGGAGAAAAGTGGTCGTATAAGACAGGTGGCCGTCTTACGCAAGACTGATCAAGATGAAGAAAACAAACCATTCCCATTTGAAGTCCCAATCGAAAGTAGCCGCATTGTTGTTGTTTTTGTTGTTGTTGGTTTGTATTTTGTTTGATTTTTATTTTGTTGGTGATTTTGCGCAAGGGTGACAATAAAACGAAATGTATTAGACGAGGAAGACCGAGTGCCATGTTAAAACAAACGCCGGGGTCGCCACCACTAGGAGAACGAGCGACGCTTTTTTTGCAAATTCATGTTGACATCCATTGTTACTTTGTTACAGACTGGGTAAACAGAGACAACTCATCTCACGTACGATTTGTGTATGAGGTCTGGGCGGGGCTTATGGGTTATGAGGGATCACACGCTTACCTCACCAGCAGCTGAAAATTGGTACCTATTGGTCAACAGTGGGAGGGGCCTACGCAACATGATCGGTTGGAGGGACTACCTAACAACAATGACAAGTGATTGCTCGCCAGGGGCCAGTGCACAATTTATGACAAAATGTAATGGAGTCACTAAGGTGGCCGTCTAAAACAGGTGTTATTGCTTAGTGTGATAGGGGCTGTGTGTTAAAATATGGTGGCCGCGGCCGCGTTGGACAGGTGCCCGTTTTACACAGTTAAATTATACAGAAAAAACGAGAGGGGGGAAATGGAAAGTGGCCGTTTCTACAGGTGACCGTCTTATAGAGGTGGCCGTCAGAGCAGGTTCGACTGTATTGCAAAACTGTTATTAAATCCCACATGATGCATATCTGGACATACATTTCTCGGGAGGACAGCATCTTGGCTCATGATGTTCAGTGTACAATAGCGGTTGCTGTTATAATGTGGTCAAAATCCTGGTTCTTTACCAAGGACTGTCAGGTCTGCTCTTGAAAATTTAGCCGTACCCCCCACCCCCCAAAAAAAAATGAAATCCATGAAACAACCAACTACACAGCATTAAGAGAGTTTAGTTTTGATCATAATCATATTTCATAATTCAATTTAAAATATTATTGGAATATGTTTGAATGTTGACTGACACTAGCGCCAAATATTCTAAATTTTACATTTTCTGATATATATTTCATTAACAATATAAGGATTATGGATTACACTGTTATTATAATACAGCTTTAACGGCCACCTGCATAAGACAATCACATGTACAAAAGGCCATTACCAATCTTCCCCTTTCTTACACACTACAATTACCCTGTGTAAGCTGTCCACCTGTCTAGGACAGCCACTTTTCTCATCGACAATGGGTGGCCGTCTAAAACAATTTCTACTGTATCTTTAAAAAAAATCAGAACCAGAAGACTTACCGACACACATTCTTCCAATAATTCGGCATCCGGCAATACTGGCATGAACGACAGGGATTGTGTCTGCCAATTCTCCTTCAAACACACTGAAAAACAAAAGAAAATTGTTCGGGACTAAAGTATGGCATCCTTTCATAAAAATACATAATTTCAACCAAACACATATTCAATAACAGATATTCCTCAAACTACCGAGGCCGGTCACGTCAAATTCGAGCTATCCGTTTATACTGTATTTCCACTGACAGATCTAAGTACTAGATTTAGATACCTAGTACGCCTATACAATTTTTCCTGTGGCTATGCGTACGGACCTTTAAAGTATAGATTTAGATCTAATTAAATTTGCTCACTGCCTTGATAATCGTTTAGCTGGACGTCACTTTATCGATCGATATCTTGGCCAAGACAAAGATCGTGTATAACAAGATAGTTCACTCCTCTAGTTGAGCCAATTAAAAAAGTGTCCTCAAAATTCGGAGGCGCCCTCTTCAGAAAAGTGCGGACTTCGCAATCAGAGCTACCCTACTTGTGTGAAAATGAATAATAAAAGTGAAACTAATAAACTGAGCTATTCCTATTATTCCTCAGCAGAAACAAAAGAGAGCTTCAAAACAAAGACTGCAGCGTCATCTGAACCAATGCACGGACTTCCGCGGACACCTTTTAGGCTGAGGGAACTATTTTGTTATGTACGATCTTTGGCCAAGAGACGCTCTACGAGGTCAAGATAATGTGCAAAGTCAATGGTCACTATTTATAACTTTGACCTGTAATTTACTAGATCATTTTCCATATAAGGAATACTGAAATTTTCCATTGAAAAAAGGTTCGCGTCTATGCCTTTTATATAGCTGTGCGCTTCCCGATCGAAGTAGGTCAGCCCGGCTCCCGCCCTTTATAAAGGGCCTGCGCACTTCCAGAGTTTAAGTTTGTTCACTTGTAGTGTCCAGTTTGATTGTTTATGTGCAGCCTACAAAGCCTCTAGCTTATTATAATGTGAAGCGGAGGGCCGTACACATAACCTCAATGCTAGGATGGTCGTACACATAGCCACTTCATACAATTTTATGCTAGGTCTGGAAATATTGAGCACATTCAAACGAGAGTGCTAATTATGCCAATGCTTACAGGAGAAATATCACGGGTTTAGCTTCTGAATGTTTTCTGTCATTAAGAGGGCCTTATCAAATCAACCTCATTGAAAGCAAAGAAAAAGGCCAAAAATATATGAGAATATGAAAGTAAAACTAAATCATGCGCACAAGAACACACGCACACCTTAGCCAAAAAGTGGCTGAAGGTTCACAAGGACATAAAAATTAATTTAATTTGTTTCTACGGGTGGGAATAAAATTTTCTTCTATTTTCATCCAAGGGGGGGGGGGGGGGGGGGGTGTGAGTAAAATATTTATTTATGTTCCCACCAAGGGGGTGAGAGATTAGAGAAAATCTATTCCCACTAGGCTCAGTCTCTCAGTCTGTGAAACGAATGAACTGGGCTAAGGCAAGGCAGGAAGGTAGGTTCCACGACGACAGGACACCTTGCTGCAGTTGATCATATGGGAAAATGGGAGGACTTCCATAACGAGCGACCACAAAGAGACAGAGTACAACAGTGGGGTAGGGGTAGGATTGGGGTAAGGGTAGGGCTAAAGGCCTCTTTGAACATTAGCAGACAACCACTAGATCTAGATTAGATGTACTCCGGTAGCCTAGGTCCTAGGGCGCGATGGGTGATGATAAGGTGTTTTAACTTACTTACTTTACTTTTTCTTTTTCATCCTTTGTTGCCGTTAAGTGTCGAGGGGAGATGCAGTTTTCTATGGTAGGCCACCTCCGCAGCTCTTTCAGTTGTGATGTTATGTTTTCTTAGGGTTTCCTTGACACCCTCGATCCACCTTTAGCGTGGTCTTCCTCTTCCTTTATAGCCTGAGTGCTTGGTGTTGTAGGCCCTCAAGGCTGGCTGGTCAGGTGACATGCGTAACAGGTGGCCAAACCATTTTATCCTCTGTCTTTCCATGTAACTCAGGCAGGACTCAGTGCCGATAGCTGCTCTTACTTCTTCATTTCTCTGCCTGTCTCGTCTTGTGATGTTAAGGGTTTTGCGGAGACATTTCATTTCGCATACGATGATTTTGCTTTCAAGGGTTTTGCTTAAGGTCCAGGTCTGGCACTGATAACATAATGTTGGTATGAATATTGAGGTGATAAGCTGTCTCTTTGTGTCCATGGAGATGTTTGGATGAGATAGAAGGGGTACGAGCTGGTAGGTGACAGCGCTGGCTTTTTGAGTTCACATTTCTATTTCTCTGTCTATGGACCCGTTTTCAGAAAAAGTGCTGCCAAGATATTTAAAAACTCTTTCACCTGTTTCAGTTGTTTACTATTGACATGGATGTTCAGGGGACTATGGTTTCGGCTCACTTTCATAACTTCTGTTTTTGATGTGCTTATTTTCATGTTGAATTTCTCACAAGTGTTGTTGAGCTCGGTAGTGTGATTTTGGAGGCTTTGTTGGTCATGATGAATTAGACATTGGTCGTCTGCGAACAGAAATTCATTTAGGCTTTCTGGGCTTTGGTTTGCTTCTTGCGTTATTGTGTCCATATATATTATAAACAGGAGGGGAGACAGAACGCATCCCTGTCGTACTCCAGATCTTACTTTGAACCAGTCTATATTTCCTTTCTTCGTATCTTGGTATCTCTGACATTATCTAACAATTGTCCTCTGACGCCATACTTTTCGTGCGTCTTCCAGAGTTTTGCATGGTTTACTCTGTCAAAAGCCTTCTCCTGGTCTATAAATACGATGTTGGATTCTTTGTTGTGTTCCGTCCACAAGTTTTCCCGTAACTAAACTTAGAAGAGAGTCACTTCTGATTCCGAGCAGCCTAAAAATTACCCCTCGCACGGAGGCCGATTTCTGGCCCAGCGGGCGAGTGGCATTGCTAGATCTACCTAAAATCTAGTTCCGGCAGGTAGTCTGCTAATCTTCAATTTTACCGGGGTAGGGTTTAGGTTTGGGGTAGGGTTGGGGTTAGGGTTTGGGGTATGGGTAAGGGGGTAAGGGTAAGGTTAGGGTTAGGAACTTAGGATCTTAGGTCTGCTCTTTGTCTTTATTTCTGTTTGTTGGGGGTGAGTGTATACAGACTCGGTAACCGGGAATTAAGTCACAAAGTATACAGACCCGGTAGGGGAACACTTTTGTGATTTCAGAGAGTTTCTGGGCCCTCTTGGCTCAGGGTCTAGATCTAGATCTAGGCAGACAGACATAAATCTTTGATCTAGTTTCGCGGCTAGCCTAGATCTAGATCTAAATGAAGATTGCCGATGTCTTTTCGATGAACGATCGTTTTTCCTCCGTTTTGGAGTTTGAGGAATCGCAAGACGCAATTTGAAGAAAAGAACAATGTCATAAATTTCAATCGAGCAGTCACCCTCTCTATTTCTCTCTCTCTCTCTCTCTCTTTCTCTCTCGATCTCCCTCTCTCTCTCTCTCTGTATCGCTCGCCTTCTCTTTTTCTTTGTTTGTCTGTCTTCCTTTGTCCCCGCCTATTTCCCACTCTATCTTTCTCTCGTTCCCTCCTGCCAACTGGGGCATGTCATTACATTTTGCTAGCTCCTCTCTCTCTCTCTCTCTCTCTCTCACACACACACACACACACACACACACAGACTAGATTTCTACCGGGTCTGGGGGCTGAAACTTTCCGAAATCGCAAAAGAGTTCCCCTACCGGATCTGTATACTTCGTGACTTTGTTCCCGGTTACCGGGTCTGTATACACTTCTTTTGGGCGATTTTGTAGTTTCGTTCGTTAAAGTCAAGAGTAGGGGGGTTTCATGATGCCCCCCTGAATTTTATCCTAATTTGATGTGTTGCAGTTAGGTTGGTTGCATCCCTGCTTTTGTGTAGCCTAATTCAAATAGTATTTGGTCTTCAAGACTTCTGGATTTCATCTCTGGATGTAAACAAATGGATCGTGGACTTTAACGAATGGAACTACAAGATCACCCTTCGTTGTTGGGGTGGTTGCTCGTAACGGAGGTCCTTCCGGGAAAAAAATCTAGATTCTAGATCTAGATTTAGATCTAGATATCTAGATCTAGATCTACACTCAGATCTAGGCTGCAAAAGTAGAAGCAAAAACATAAACAAAAAATGTCTTCTGAATACTCGTAACGTGCAGGGTGGTATGGGCATGGGGTACGACAACAAACATTATGATGATGTATGATTATGATTGATCGGTGTAGACTGCTAAACGCACCTGTAGAAGTTCTCTGACCCTCCGATGGCAACAAGACAATAATTGTTTGTAAGCTTTGAAAATACACCAATTTCGTTGTTCCCCTCGAACTGGGCACGTACAGCCATCTTGAAGTTTTATTTGGTGGTATACTTTCGCTATGAGTTATCTTTATATTGCCAATCTACTGATGGTGCAAGACTATTTCTCAACCATGAGGAAATGTGCTTGTGTAAAACGTCATCAAATGTTGTTGAGCCCTGCGAAGTAGTTCCGTTCATCCTATGTGTACACTTTGTCTGAAAACTAAAAGACAAGACTAGCCTACCGAAAACAATTATTAACGTCTATTCACGAGCAGGGAAACTTATCAAGGGTGAGTTAAATTAAATGCATAGGTTTGACATTGTCTGCTTGTTTCTGGGCTTGGGATTTTTAAAATAGTTAGTTTTTTGGCTGTTTGTTTTTTAAATTTAAAACTCCGCCTTCTCTGTTCTTATTCTAAGATAGATTAGATCTAGATCTATGCGTGAATTCAATTCGCACTTCCCCGTGTGGTTGCTCTTTTAATTTTATATCAAATTTATTCAGAACAACCTGAGTTACCAAAGTCCTTTTCGGGGTGGTATATTTTGATAATGAATATTCACATATGGTTTTATTGACCCTCTTGTCTTTTGGTACCGGCCATTCAGGTTTTATAGATTGCGATTGCAAGAGCTACAAAAATTGTCACAGGCCTGTCAAGTTCCCAAGGTATTGACGTGTTTATTGTAAATAAATTGAAACAGGAATTTTAAATATTCCTAAGCTGGGTTAGGTTTGTGCAAAGTGTAGAAATATGTGTGGTGTTCGTATGTTTTTGTATATTGGGTGTTTATATGAGCGTGTGTGTGTGTGTGTTTGTGTGTGTGTTGTGCGTGTGGGGGGAGTGGGCGTGTGTGTATGTGTGTGTGTGTGTGTGTGTGTGTGTGTGTGAGGGGGGGGGGTGGGGGGGGTGCGTGCGTGCGTGTGTGTGTGTGTGCGTGCGTGTGAGAGAGACAATGGGGGGGGAGAGATCAGAGAGAGAGAGAGAGACGAGAGAGTGTGTGTGTGTGTGAGAGAGAGAGAGAGAGAGAGAGAGAGAGATAGAGAGGGAGAGAGAGAGAGAGACGAGAGAGATTTGGAGAGGTAAAAGGGGGCGGGGAACATGTTTTAAACAGGGTGTGCATGAATACGCTAGCTACACCAAAGATGTTATAAAAATATTTCTATTTATAACCTCTTTGGCCTACACCAAGGAGGCCTAATCCAAAGATTCTCTACTACCCATGTCCCTCTGTTTCTGTAATTCATTACAGTAGGTGCATGTATAGCCTGTTTGTGTATCTTTTTTTTATTTTTTAGGGGGGGGGTCGAGAGAGGGGGGGGGAGGAGAGAGAGAGAGGGAGGGAGAGGGAGAGAGACAGAGGGAGAGAGAGAGAGAGACAGAGGGAGAGAGACAGAGACAGGTAGAGGGAGAGAGAGACAGATAGAGGGAGAGAGAGTGGGAGGGAGGGAGAGAGAGACAGAGAGAGACAGAGACAAACAGAGACAGACAGACAGACAGACAGACAGACAGACAGACAGACAGACAGACAGACAGACACAGAGAGAGAAATGGTGAGTGAGAGAGAGAGGGAGAAGAACGTGCCGTCTGAGTTTGATTCAATTATGTTTGTGTGAGGGCGGGGGTCGGGGGGTGGGGGTGGAAGGGTACTTATTTACTTACTCGGTTGGAGAATAGGCGTCATTGCTGGCGGCACAATGCCATAGCTGCTCCTCCCTCCTCTCCAGGATCCATGAAAAAGTATGCCTACTGATCGTGCAAGTTAACTGCTGGTTGGATATTATTCTCTGGCTTTTCCACACGGGTTACTGTCTCTTCCCGACCCTCTTTAGCTAGATTCCCCTAGCCTACTCTATCCATTGTGTGTTGGCCTATACATAATGAGTGTGCGCATGTGTGTGTGTGTGTGTGTGTGTGTGTGTGTGTGTGTGTGTGTGTGTGTGTGAGTAGTTCGTACTATTAGCCTTCAAGTTCCAAAATTAAAGGCACTCGGCTAGACCGGTTTTTTGTCTCCGGCTAGACTGAGGATTTGATATGATATATGATGCAAAAGCAAGTGACCAATCACAATTAAGAGGACAATTTTAAAAGGCAAGGGCTGTACGTTGAGTCTACTCGTCGATCCATCGGCTCTATACTCTGAAGAAAAATCCCATTTTAATCTTGTCTTCAGTCTTCACCACAAAGGGCAGCCCATTGCCTGCGTGTCTAATTCTGAAATATAATTCTAAGCAAACTTTTAGCACTCTTAACATATCATCCATCTCTCATAGACAGTTCTTAATTTATGGACAATTGGCTTAGAGCCAAAGTGCGTAGATGGTTAGCTTGCAAAGCTCGCTTTTATATATTACGTTTCAACCGTATCATGTTCGTGCCGGAGGTCACCCATGTCGAGATCCGCACAATGATTATTTATGTTGAACGACATATTACATTAAATTTTAACATACACTGTGTATTGACAAGGGGGGAAAACACGAAAAAATAGCGGGAGTTAAATTTAATTTGAGTTATATTTCTTGGTGCCGGACAGAAAACCTTCCCGCCCTCCGCCTCCCCCACCTGTCGGAGAAATTTTATCCCCCCCCGGCCTCCCCGGAGGGGGGGTCAGGGGGGGCCAAACCCCGGGGCCCGGCTTTTTGGGGGCCCCCCACGGGGGGGAAAAAAAAAGAAGGGAAGAAAAAAAGAGAGAGACAGAGAGAGAGAGAGAGAGAGAGAGGGAGAGAGAGAGAGAGAGAGAGAGAGAGAGAGAGAGAGAGACCTATTTTTGTTTTGTAATAGATTTGCTCCATTAAAGTGTTTTTAAATGTTTTTTTACTTTGTTTTTTTGGTTTTTTAATTTCCAGGTAAAGGTGGGGGGGCCCGGGTGGGGCAGGGGCGGAGGAGGGGCCCGAAGGTGATTGCTGCCCCAGGGCCGGACCAGGCTCTCGACGGCCCTGGACACGACTAACGTATATAAACTGTTTTAGTAGTGAAACAATGCGGCCCGATACGTATTAACTGTTTTTGGTCTGGTTGTTGAAAGATGAGGAAAAAAAATTCACTAGTAAGAGAAGGAGGACAGCTGAAATACAGATGGTTCTACATATTTACGCCATCAATTCAGTTCTGTCAATGCTGGAAAAGCTAAGATACAATATAAAACAAAAAACATTGTAGGGCAGGCCAGGGACGTCAATTTAGAAGGAAAAAAAAGACGGCTCTTTTTATAGGATAACTTTTCCTTCCCTTTCAAGATTTGGACACTAAGATGAACTCTGCTTGTTTGGGTTGTTGTTGTTTTTCCATGTAATGTTTTCTATTAAGTTGAAAGACAATAGAGAGTCTTTTTTCTGCCTAATTATTACTGGCCAGCGTGGCGCAACAAAAAATTAGCATACTTGCAGCACAGTCTCACTTTTCAACAGTCAATAAATCCAAATTGTCTCACACTCACAGGTATAGTAGCCGTTGTGGCCGTCTTGATTGTCGCTAAAAGCAAAAGGTATTTATTTCGCTTATATTCAATTTGAGTCTGGTTAGTTGAAAAGTAGCTTAGGTAAAGCCACATCTCAAGGGCCTCTTAGCAGTGCGCGCGCGTTTGTATGTGGTGGGTATATGTGTGTGTATTCACGTGTGTATGTCTCTGTCTGTGTGTGTGTCTGTCTGTGCGTGTGTTTGTGTGTAGAAAGACTTGCAACTCATTCATTAGCAAATTTTGCACCGTAAAGCATTGCGGGTTATATTGATGTAATCAGGGGCGGTTTGTTAACTGGGCAAGACCGGCGGTGCCGGTCAGATTTTTGTCCACTGAACTGTTGACTAGAGGTTTATTGCTGATGACGATTTTCATTCAGTTTTAAGTAAATCCAAACAAACATGTATCAACATTCAAAAACACCTTGCCGATTTGAAGGC